AGCGTAGTGGTTACGAATCGGGCTGTGAACCTTAAGGTCAGCCGGTTCGAAACTACCAGCCGCTCCGCAGGAGAAAGATGAGATTTTCTACTCCCGTAAAGATTTACACCCTCGGAAACCCTGTACAGGGTCGCTATGGGTCGGAACCGACTCGACGGCACTTAACAACAACAATAGAGGCCAAGAGAGAACAGATACCGAGGAAGACTAAGAGAAGAGCGGGGAAAGACTCAAGACAGATGGAATTCATATGAAAATTAAGAAGATCAGAGATTTAAATAAAGAGAATGAAATGGGTATAAACGCAATGAGAGACGGGAAGAGGCACCCAGAGAGTGAAGTTGATGAAAATACACAGAGGAAGTAACGCAGAAAGAGAGAACTTGGCGTTACAGAGGGAAAGAAATCTGACAGAGGTGAAATAAACCAAGAGTAGTAGTCATTGTTAAGTGTTGCAGAGTCGGTTCCAACCTATAGCGATCCTGTACAGGGTTTCCGAGGAGTGGCTGGTGAGCTTGAACCACAGACCTTGCAGTTTAGCGCATGAAACAGCAGCACCACACCAGAACTCCAAGAGAGAAGGACACACATCCAGAGAGAGAAAAGACAGACCCATTGTCAAATTGAAAGAGGAAGAGACCCAGAGAAAAAGGGGTATATATATATAATGAAATATGAGGAAAACAACCTAGAGAATAGGCTGATAGAGAGGGAAAGAGTTTCAGAGATCATTTGAAAGAACTAGAAATTAGGAAGATTGAAAATATTCTCTTAAACATCTGAACCCATTCATCTTAGAATCTAAGCAAATATTTCATCCTTATTATACTGACACATTGAACTCTTGCTCTTTCTCATCCTTACAGTATCCTCACACCTCCTTGTCAGCAGCTCATATATTCCAATCACTGATCCTCCCAAAGCTTTCCCTTTTGTTCTCTGAAACCCTGAAAAGACGCATCCTGATAACACCAATCTCCTCGTGGAGGGTTCTTTTTACTGCCTTGCTTTAGACAAAACAGGGACTCCATTTTCTTTGCAGCTCTTTCGATGAGTATTGCTATCACTCTCTAATATATTCTAGGACTAGAAAGTAATAGGAGGCAAACTGCTGGTTCTTTACTGCCCTGGTTTCAAACAATAGTGTCCTTCTCCCCTACCCCCAAACTCCTTACAATGCTACAACTGGCTAAACACACTCTGGCCCCTACACCTTGTCAAAATCATCTCTCCATTTACAGCCCCCTGTCCTGGTGTGGCACTGTGAGCTAATGCGTCAGACTACAAAGTCATTTGAACTGCAAGGTCGGTGGTTCAAGCTCACCAGCTGCTCCTTGGAAACCCTATACAGGGTCGCTATGGGTCGGAACCGACTTGACGGCACTTAACAGCAATATAGGACTAGAGGTCTACCTAACATAGCACTCCACTACCCATCTGTCAGTTTGTTATACTGTAATAGTTTGCAAGTTAACTATGATACTAGAAGCTATGCCACCAGGATCACCCAAAGTAGACAAGTTTCAGTGGAGCTTCCAGTCAAAGACAGACTAAGAAGAAAGGCCTGGCAATCTACTTCCAAATATTAGCCAATGAAAACCTTATGGATCACTCTTCTCCTTTCACCACCCTTCCCTCCCTTTCATTTTCTTCCTTTTCCTTATTCCTCCTTTCTTTCTGAAGTGGAGCCACCCACAATTATGTGGTGACTTTTTACAAAACTCAAGAGCAAATTCAAAGATAAATATTGTTGTTAAGTAATGTTGAGCCAGTTCAGACCCATAGTGACTCTGTGTAGTGTTTCCAAGGAGCAGCTGGTGAACTTCAACCACCAACCTTGTAGTTCAAACGGCTTTGCAGTCTAGTGCATTAACCCACAGCACCATACCAGGACTCAAAAATAAATATAGAGGTTGTTATTTCCTTTGGTAATAGCCAGAGGTTTACCTACTTTCTAGATGAACTCCCCTAATGACCTTTCAGACTGATGTAGTGCTGTAGAATCAGTTTCTGGACTTCAGCTACCATTTCTTTAATCATCGACGTTGACGGTTTTCCCTCTATTGGCTTACCTTTGAGGTCTGTCTTAAAATACTTGATCCATCTAAAAATTGCTATGGGCAATAGTCCCATAAATTTGTACCAGAACTTTAATGATGTGTGAAGTTGTCTGCTTTGATTTTGTTAAAAATTTTATATTTAGCCCTGTCCTCAAAATCATTTTTCTTCCCATGACACAAAATATGTAAGTTTTTTTTTTTTTTTTAATGAAATTATGGCAAGTGTATTACTGATAAAACTTGTTTTGCAGCCATTCACTGATTACAAAGACATGCTTAAACATGTGTTCTTTGGAATAAACTCAAGCATGTATGAACTGGAACCCTAGTGGCAATACTTTTTGACTTGCCCTTGTACTTTGACTTCAGAAACAAAAAAGTTCAACTAGCTATGAGGGTAGCACAGGACCAGGCAGTGCTTCCTTCTGTTGTGCATAAGGTCACTGTGAGTCGGTACCAACTCTACAGCACCTAACAACAACAATTCCAGGACTGTTAAATGCCATCAAGTCCATCCCAACTCATAGTGACCCTATCTAGGGTTTCCGATGAGCAACTGGTAGTTTTGAACTGGCATTATTTAAATTGATTTCTTTCAAAAGGAAACTGAGAAACAAGTGCCAACTTTCTATTAAGTGTTATTTAACAGTATTAGCTATGACACGTGCATAAACATCAATTACATGTCCAGGTGTGACGCTGCAGGATAAACACTCCACAGTAATGTAGGTCTGAATGGTAAGTTTGGTGGTTCAAACTCACAGCCACTCCTCAGACACCCTATATGGGGTTGTCACTATGGGTCTGAACCAACTTAACAAAACTTAACAACAACAGGCATATATATCATACAATGCTGATTTAATATACAACTTATCCATATTACAGACCCTTTCATGAAAAAAGAACTAAGAAGAAAACTGTTGTGTTATTTAAGTGCTGTGGAGTCCGTCTGACTCACAGCAACCCTATATAGAGTTTCCAAGGCTTTAAATCTTTTGTAGGAGCAGAAAGCTTTATCTTTCTCCTGTGGAGTGGTTGATGGCCTTGAACCCCTGACCCTGTAGTTCACGGTCCAGTGCTTATCCTATGGAGTCACTTCCTCTTCTAAAAACATAAACGAAAATTTAATGGAAAGCAAACACAGCTATATTGAGAAATAAACTGTTACATGAAGTAAAAAAGCACACTGCACTAGAGGATCAGGAGGCATTATGTCACTAGGAAATTTAGATGTTATATGAATGAAAGGAATCTGAGGTCCACAACTATCAACTGAAGTCATCCAAAGCAATATTTATTCAGAAAAAAAAAAAAAAATCAAGTGGTTTATTACCTTCCCTGCTTGCCCCTGTATCCCAAAACAATGAAGGAAAAATGTAAGGGAAGACTGAGTCTGGAAGAAGGAAAAGTGAATGACCAGAAAGAAAAAGATTAATGAGGTAAAGCAGAAAAAAATGGTTTTCTACTTTTCCACTGTTAGTAACTACAATGACATTAGTTACTGGGAGAGATTTTCAGTGAAAAGTCTTCTTTAATTTTAATTGCTTTCACAGAATTAAGTGTGATATGAAAAGTGGCCAAGTTATATCAATCTCCTCAATATTACCTTTTGCAACTTTTTACCTGGCCAAAGAGTTACAAAAAGCCTCACTCTGGAATTCCCAAAGTCCTCCTGCTTCTCCTTTCTCTCGAATCCACTTTAACTTGTTGTTCTGTGCTATGGAGTCAGTTCTGGCTTGTAGTGACTCAGTACAGTAGATGGTGGGTTTGAACTGCAGACCTTGAGGCTAGCACTCCAGTGCTTATCCTAAAGCACCACGCCATGGCTTAGCAAAATTATAACATTTCCTATCCTAAAATAAACAAATGAACTATCATGGGTCTCCTAAAATACAAAAGAAACATTAAAAAATAGAAAGAAAGAACTTTAATAAACTATATAAATTTGTTTGTCCTGAAGAAAAATTTTAAATAAAAAAAAATTATTTAAAATTCACTTTCTACAGTCTCGATGGCACCTAACAACAACAACAATGGAACCTGGCTGAGTTGAAATTTGAATTTCAAATTCAAGCTCTACAATTTATTAATGATGTGACCATGGACAGGTTTCTGAATCTCTCTGTTATCACAGGGCTTGGCTTTGTGAGGATTAAATGAAGTAACACTTAAACCACTTAGAACATTGATTTGTGTCTCACATGTGCTATGTATGGGTGGGAGTGTATTTCCATGCAGTAGCTTGTCCATAAGAAGAAGAATAAAAAATCTGTGACATGACGTAGTAACACAAAAAGATGACACAGTATGACCCCACTGACGAAAAACGATTTAGAGCTGTTGTTGCTAGTGTTGCTTTTAAGTGCTGTTGAGTCAGAGCCTACTCATGGCAAACCCTGTGTAGGTTTTCTGAGGAGCAGCTGGTGGGTTTGAACTGCCGAGCTTTTGGTTCACAGCCCAGTGCCCATCCCACAGAGCCACACGTTGGCACTCGTAAACACATTGAGATGTTCTTGAGGAGGTTCAGTGAAATGTTAACTGTGATTGTCTCTAAATGACAGGATTTGAAGAAACCGGATTTTTTTTTTTCACTTTCTTTATCATCTCATTGTGAGCACGGTTGCTTTTTAGGATAAGCACTGGACTGCAAACCTTTCTACCCTAGCAAAGAATTATAGCCTTGGAAACCTATACAGGGTTACTATGAGTCAGGATCAACCTGACAGCACTTCAGAAGAAAAAGAGCAGCAACATTAGTTACAACAATTTCCAGATGTAACTAATGATACTGATGGCAATATCCTATGCTCAGAATCACTAGGGCTGGTGCTTTGAAAATCTTTCATGAAAGCAGCAAAGCTGCCTCAATGAGATGATGTTTCCGGAACAATAATATATCTACTACAATAGTCAGTACATGTACTCTGTCAGACCTACCTTCTCACCACTTGAGTAGAAGAAATAACGCAATCGGACTATGTTGCAGTGATCTAGCTTTCTCATGATCTGGAGCTCTCGGTTCTGAAAGGAAAACACATAAAAATATGTCTTGAATGAGAGATTCTGGGGAAAAAAAAACAAAAAACCCACTAATATTACAAACAGCATGCTATAGCAATACTGGTCTGCAAACTGTTAGTTACTAGACCATTAACTATCTGTTATTCCACCACAATAAATTTAAAACAAAAATTAAGAGTGGGTAGAAACCGATAATTGCACAGTAATTGTAGATCCAAAAATGTGATAAAAATTGTAGCCTATATTTGTATTTTTGAAATTTCATTTTCCAAGTAATTATTTTATAATGCATTTTATACAAAGTATTCATTTTTGATGAATTGAAAAAAATTTAAACTGGTATTGTACCACAGGTAGCTTATGAAGTACTGGTTTAGTATCTATGAACTATGTGAAATGAAGCGCTAGAATAGTTCTTTGAAATTGTAATATAAATCAAATTTCTCATGCTTAAAATTTAGGGGCAAAGAAAACATTTATAGGTTTTTTTGTTTTGTTTTTAGTTTTACTGAAAAGATTGAGTTAGTCTCATTAAAGGGGCTCCATTCCTAGGCATTGGATAAGAGTTAAAATATGGCATACTAGAAATGACACAGTCCTATTTTATCTGTACACAGCACAAACAATTTTCCTTTTGGGGAGTTTCACAGTTATAAATCATTCTTAATGAAAATAAAGTACCAAATAATATGATGACTTCCTACCAACACAAAGTACCTATTAATAAAGACATATTCCAACAATATACATCACACTATCAGAAATTCAGTTACAAAAAGCACAATGGAGCTGTGGGATAAAGCACTAGACTGCAAGTCTGGTTTGAACCACAAGGTCAGTAGTTCACACTCACCAGTTGCTCCTTGGAAACCCTATACAGGTTGGTCACTATCAGTCAAAACTGCCTTGACGGCACTTAATAACAAAGGCACAATACACCAAAAGAATACCAAGTTACCAACCCAAGTGGCTAGAAAATACTAGTCAAAATAATGATCTAGTAAACAGGGTCACTATGAATCAGAATTAACTCAATAGCACGTTAACAACAACCAGGCACTAAAGTTAAGGATGATGAAATTGAGAAGAATTCTACCTGAAATTTATCATCATGCAATCAAGATGCAGTGAATAGTTACTGGTACTGGGATATGAAAATTGGAAACAAAGACTGCCTTGGAAGAAGCGCAGTTAGACTGCTCCTTAAAAGCCAGAATGGCAAGACTTCAACTGTCTTGCTATTGAAATATTGTCAGAGATGGAGAAGGACACCATACTTGGTAAAAAGGAGGGTCAATGAAAAAAAGGAAGACCCCCCATGACAATATGGATTGACACTGTAGCAACAACAAAGGGCTCACACATAACAACTGTAAGGATGGCGCGGGAGCTGCAGTGCTTCTTTCTGTTGTATGTAGGGTCGCTGTAAGTCAGAACTGACTAGAAACAAACTTAACAATAACAACTATATAGAGACATGATATTTAAATTTATTTATGTTTCTCACTCATTACTTGTTATGAAATGAGTAACTGAAACAGTAAATAGAAAGAACTTCAGGCAGAACGCTTTAAGAAAATAGTAACTGATGTCTGGCTATGTTTTAACCATTGTAGAGAGAAGGACACAAGAGAAAAATTTCAAAACTGTTCCATTCCTATTCCGAACTAAAACTGTTACTAGAAGCACATTTTGTACATTTTGCCAATTCACACATTTAGTTAATTTTGTGGGAGGACAACTAGTAAGCAAAGACTCACATTTCTCATAATATACAGATAATACGATTTTTTTAAACATAGTTAAAATATTTATTTTTCTAGACTCATTAACAAAGTTGACAGAGAATTATTAAATTACCAGATAATAGAAGCTGTGTAACATTATGCTTATGAGAGAGCTTCAAAAAGCCCATAGGGAAATGGAATTAAAAGATAATGGAATCTTTCCACAAGCTTTTTGAAGACCCTTATACTACATTTGACCAGAAAAGAAAGCATACATGAAGCAGGTACATGGACCTATATATTCATCTTCCCATGTTTTGTTAAGTATTGCCAAGTAAGTTCTGCCTCATAGCAACCCTGTACAGGGTTTCAGAGGAGCGGGTGGCAGGTTTAAACTGCTGGCCTTGCAGTTAGCAGTCCAGTGCTTACTTATCCTACAGTACCACACCAGAACTCCAAATCTTCTGTTAGTATTATTATAAATTTTCTATTAAAGTTTGAAATTTTTATCATACACCTAAGTGAAAATACTGAGGCTCAGAGTAGAAGTTGGGTTTAGAAATTTGCACATGGTGGGGTGGGGTCATCTGCAGTAAGGATAAAGTAAAAAACATAATAATAATAATAAAAATCTGAGCGTATCACCAAAGGAAGAAATTCATTCTGAAAAACAATGAAAGAGAAGTGAATGAAGTATAGTAGTCAATGAAGTTTGAGGAAAACAGAAAAGAATGGCATCTTATAGAAGTCAAAAAGAAAGCATTTTCAGAAAAAAAAAAAAAGGAATAGCCACTTACATCAAAAGCTGTTGACAGACTGAGTAGAGTAAAAACAGGAATCGACATTAAAAAAAAAAAAAAAGGCAAATGCAGGAAGTTAGTGACTCTTACACCACAGTGGTTTCAGCAGAATGATGGTGGTAAAACCCTGACTAGAGTGGCATCAGGATTTGAGGAAGACTCATTAGCAACCTGCGATATGCAGATGATACAACCTTGCTTGCTGAAAGTGAAGAGGACTTGAAACATTTACTTATGAAGATTAAAGAGCACAGCTTCGATATGAATTACATCTCAATGTCAAGAAAACAAAAATCCTCACCACTGGACCAATAAACAACATTCTTATCAATGGAGAAAAGATTGAAGTTGTCAAGGACTTCATTCTTCTTGGATCAACTATCAACACTCGCGGAAGTAGCAATCAAGAGATCAGACAACGTATAGCATTGGGCAAATTTGCTGCACAGGAACTTTTTAAAGTATTGAAGAGCAGAGATGTCATCTTGAGGACTAAGGTGTGCCTGACCCAGGCCATGGTGTTTTCAGTAGCCTCATATGGATGCGAAAGCTGGACATTGAATAAGGAAGATCGTAGAAGAATTGATGCCTTTGAGTTGTGGTGTTGGAGGAGAACACTGAAAGTGCCATGGATTGCCAAAAGAACCAATAGATCTGTTTAGGAAGAAGTGCAGCCAGAGTGCTCCTTGGATGCCAGGGTGGCTAAACTTCGTCTCTCATACTTTGGACATACTGTCCGGAGAGAACAGTCGCTGGAGAAGGATGTCATGCTGGGTAAGGTGGAGGGTCAGAGAAAAAGAGGAAGACCTCTAACGAGATGGATTGGCCAGGTGGCATCATTGATGGACTCAAGTGTGGCAGCGGTAGTGAGGTTGGCCCAGGATCGGACATTGTTTCGTTCTGCTGTGCATGGGTCGCTATGAGTCGGTTCCGACTCAATGGCACCTGACAACAGAGTGAATTAAAGTGGGGTGGAATGAAGGGAGCAGGGACTAAGAGGTTAGAGTTTAAAATGAGAAGAGGAGTTTCAGGTGTTATGGAATGGTGAGAGACTGGCAAATTGTGGTACAGTGAATTGCTTAGTATCCCTCTTCTCCATAGTCTTTTTAACTCCCCTAAATGACTAGGTGGGACCATTCAAATAGGGTGTATAAAACTCCAATGTGTGGACTAGTCAGTTTTGCCATTCTGCTGGGTTTTAAATGAACTATCTCAGAGGCAGAAAGGGTAATTTTCATGACAATCAAGAAGAAGAGCCAAGATTCCTATGCTTGATCCAGGAGACAGTGTTATGACACCACAGACAACAAAGTCAAGAGACAAAGCAGAGGGTTGCCTGGACCACAAAGTGAATAAAGTTGAGTGCTTTGGGGCAGGAAACTGGCTTGTAGGTGCCTCCAGGCATTTAATTGGGAGAGTTAATGCTTATTGATCCACGAAGCTAGAATTGAGCACCTTTGGGCCTAGGGTTATGGATAATTGGGGTGCCCTTTGAGCATTTATTGACAGCGCTGAAAGAGCCTTGAAACATTTCCCAAGCAGGACATAATCCAAGGGGCCTTGTGGCTGAGGATCAAAGCGATAAGCACTGCCTTCTGACACGGCTGAGCAGAGGTACTCCTGACCAGAAGAACTGTGTTCTATACCTTTCTGATCTATACCAGTTAACTTCCTTAATAAACTGCACTGTTGTTGTTAAGTATCACTGAGTAGGTTCTGACTCACGGTGACCCTGTACAAAGCTTTTAAACTGCATAATCACGAGTACTGTCTGTGAGTCCTGTGTGGCCAATAAAATTAATTACTGAAGCCAGTAGAGAAGTAAGTAGTGTCACTGGAGGGACAAGTTGGTGTTGGTATTGGAATTGGTGAAGAAGGTTGGATGGTGGAGGAGGCATGTCTGACCTCCACCTCATAGGAATCAGTTGTAGTTGATGATTTTGATTCTCCTTCTCCCTTTGATGTTAGATGCCATCCCCATGCCATTCTTACATAAATCTACCCCCAAAATATACCTATAACACTGAACATCAATGTAGAAAACATCTATCTCAGGACTCCAGAAATCAAGCAAAGACAAACAACAAATTGTATTCATGAAAAAGTGACAGGTATTGCAGCCTTAGACAGTGAGAGACAATGGGCTTCCTGCCAGTGGGTGCAACCATCTCCCTACTACCATACAGTTCAGTCATTATTATTAGGATAGGATTGGTCATGAAAACCAGGCATTTTGCTGCAACAAGGGGCTACCACCACCATTTAGAATAGAGAACAAAACCCATGCCTAGTGACAATTGCAGTAAAAATAGTTCAGTTTGACAGGAAATAAGCAGGGGAAAGCCTGCAACTCTGCTATCCTAGGCTGCAATAAAGCTGAGGAAAATGAGAGATTAGTAGAATACCGAGAAATTTAAAGTGAGAACCAGGAAATTAGGCACACAAAGGGGCTAATTAAGCCCTCTATACAGCC